TGTTTTTTAGCAAAATTGAGACAAGCCCTAATGTTCTTTCTGCTTAACAGTGGTTTGCGTCTTGGAAATCTGCAGTGCAGGCCATTTTCGCCCAGTCTGTCACGTTGAGGGGATGGTTAGGACCCAAAATGCAGATTACCCAGACAACAAGAGGCAGGAGTTGATCTAAAGTAAAAATCATTTTATTGCAGGAAGAACAAAAATAAATCCAAGGGCAGCGAGCCAATAATCCAAAAATCCCAAAACAGGAGATAAAAGCTCACTTAGAGCACAAAACCAGGTGACTAGAACAAAGCTCACACAGAGCACCAAAACAACGCTGACAAACAAAAATTGAACAAATAAACACTGAATGACAAGACAAGGCTTATATACACATAGAGGAGCAATTAGGGAAACAGGCAGCAGGTGTGTGGAGTGAAGGCTGGAGGGAAAGCAGGTGCATAATAGTATCTAAATGGGGAACAGAACCAGAGGAGGGCACTATAAAACACAAAAACTAAACCTAAAGACTGAGGGCCAAAAATAAACAACTAATAACTAGAGGGATAAGGAGGACTAAATAAAGATAGATTAGGAAAGGGGAATGATCAGAAAGACACCCGAGGGAAGTCTACAGAGGGCTGGAGATAATAATGGGACACACGAGGAAAACCTGGAGTGGGAACTGGAGGGGCTGGGGAACAAGGGGACACAGAACATGACAGAACCCCCCCCCCCCCCCCCCCCCCCCCCCCAAGGGCGGATACCAGACGCACAAAACAAGAACAAGACAAAACCACAAACAAAAGACAAAGACAACACAGGACACAAGAAATCACAGGGCGGGAGAGGAGGGACCAATCAAAAAACAACCCACAAGGGCGGGCGAGGCAGGACCAGGGACCAGGGGACTCTCGGAGGCCGGCGACGGGGAACCAGGAGGCGGGACCGGTCAAGTCTTGGGGGCTGGCGATGGGGAACCAGGAGCCTGGAGCTGGGAAATCCAGGGATCGGGGGCTTTGGAGGAGGAGGACGAGGAAGAAACTTCAGAGGACGAGGAAGGGACTCAGGTAACGGGGACACATGGGACTCAGGTAACAGGGACACATGGGACTCAGGTAACTGGGACACATGAGACTCAGGTAACTGGGGCACATGGGACTCAGGTAACGGGGACACATGGTACTCAGGTAACGGGGACACATGGGACTCTGGGGAATGTGACTGGAACTCTGGAGACACTGGCGACAGGAACACTGGGGACTCTGGAGACACTGGTGACAGGAACACTGGGGACTCTGGAGACACTGGCGACAGAAACACTGGGGACTCTGGAGACACTGGCGACAGGAACACTAGGGACTCAGGAGACACTGGCGACAGGAACACTGGGGACTCTGGAGACACTGGCGACAGGAACACTGGGGACTCTGGAGACACTGGCGACAGGAACACTAGGGACTCAGGAGACACTGGCGACAGGAACACTGGGGACTCTGGAGACAATGGCGACAGGGACACTGGGGGCTCTGGAGATGATGGCGACAGGAACACTGGGGACTCTGGAGACAATGGCGATAGGAACACTGGGGACTCTGGAGACAATGGTGACAGGAACACTGGGGACTCTGGAGACAATGGCGACAGGAACACTGGGGACCCTGGAGACAATGGTGACAGGAACACTTGAGACTGGGACTAGGGAGACTGGAACACTTGAGAGTGGGACTCAGGAGACTGGGACACTTGAGACTGGGACTCGGGAGACTGGAACACTTGAGACGTAGACACTTGTGGGGACACTAGAGACGGGGACGTCGACTTCGAGACTGGAGACGGGGACGTCGACTTCGAGACTTGAGACGGGGACGTCGACTTTGAGACTTGAGACGGGGACGTCGACTTCGAGACTTGAGACTGGGACGCAGACTCTGCTGGAGACTTAGACTCTGCCGGTGGCGGCTCAGGAGACGTCAAATTCAGAGCTGGAGGCGACGACTCTGGGACTGGAGGCAACGAATTGGGAACTGGAGGCGTCGACTCGGGAACTGGAACCTCCGACTCGGGGACTGGAACCTGAGCGTCCTCTGGGAACACCACCGGAGCAGGATGCGATGCGTCCTCCGGGACCACCGCCGAAACAGGATGCGATGCGTCCTCCGGGACCACCGCCGAAACAGGATGCAATGCGTACTCCGGGACCACCGCCGAAGCAGGGTGCGATGCGTCCTCCAGGCACCACCGCTGGAGCAGGGTGCGGTGATGGCAGATGGAGCTCAGATGTGGGTCGCAGAGCAGGGGCCTCTGAAATAGGCGGCACAACTCTGGCCTTGGAGGGTTCCTTGAACTCAGTCCTGGGTTGCAGAGCAGGGGCCTCTGAAATAGGCGGCACAACTCTGGCCTTGAAGGGTTCCTTGAGCTCAGTCCTGGGTTGCAGAGCAAGGGCCTCTTGGACAGGCAGCACAGCTCTGACTTCGGGAGACTGCTGGTGATGGCGGTTTCTTTTGATCATCCTTGAGATGGTCCTACACCTTGATTGGAGACCATCAGTGTTTTATTATACTAATTGGACTTGATTAGGAAAGACATACACCTATCTTTATAAGACCTTATAGCTCACAATGCATGTCAGAGCAAATGAGAATCAAGAGGTCAAAGGGACTGCCTGAAGAGCTCAGAAACAAAATTGTGGCAAGGCGCAGATCTGGCCAAGGTTACAAAAACATCTCTGCCAAGACTCTCGTTGCTTTTATAACTTTGACACAGAGCTGCTACGTAGTACTCTACTGGTTTACGTAGTATCTTACTCCTTAGCCATTGGCTAAAATTTATTCAAAATGACTCAAATTCTATGTTTTAAGCTGAAGGTGGCGCTATACTGTGGTATTTAGGCAGAATTTTTAATTTTTAAAGAAAATGCACCAAAATGGTAAAATAATGAATACACACATTTAAAACACTATTAGACACTCATTCATACAGTTCATCAGCAAAAAAAAGTTAATTTAGACGTTACTTACTCTTTAAGGTTCTTAAGAGCCCAGTGGCCTCCATAATCCTTGACTGGAAGACATTTCGGATGACCAGAACCCTTCCTAGAGCAGGCCGTCTGGCCAAACTGAGCTACCGGGGTAGAAGAGCCTTGGTGGGAGAGGGTTTAGAAAGACCCAAAGATCACTGTGGCTGAGGTCCATATACACAGTCAGGAGATGGGAGAAAGTTGTGGAAAGTCAACCATCACTGCAGCCCTCTACCAGTTAGAGCTTTATGGCAGAGTGGCTCGTCAGAAGCCTCTCCTTAGTGCAACACACATGAAACCTCGCATGGAGTTTGCTAAAAGACACCTGAAGTACCCTGAGATGGTAGAAAAAAGATTCTCTGGTTTGATGAGAAGAAGATAGAACTTTTTGGCCTCAATTCTAAGTGATATGTGTGGAGGAAACCAGGCACAGCTCATCACTTGTCCAATACAGTCCCCACAGTTAAGCATGGCAATGGCCGCATCATGCTGTGTTTTTTATTTTTCAGCTGCAGGGATTGGATGACTGTTTGCAATCGAGGGAACAATGAATGTGGCCAAGTACAGGGATATCCTGGACAAGAACCTTCTCCGGAGTGCTCAGGACCTCAGACTGGGCCACATGTTTACCTTCCAACATGACAATGACCCTAAGCACACAGCTGACATAACAAAGGAGAGGCTTCTGTAGGAGGATGCTGGGGAAGATGACCACAATCTTAAAAAAAAACCCTCCCACCCACTGCATTCCACTGTGAAGACCATGTAAAGCTCCTTCAGAGACAGACTGAGACATCCCAGATGTAAAACAAAACATTACCATAGGTCATTCACCCTCTCTACAGTAAGTGTATAACTCCTCAGTTTAAGCTGTACTGGCATTGTCATGTTCCACAATAACACCAATGCAATATTCATTATGTGTCCAATACTTGTTCAATACCAGATTTACATAGTATGCCCGTGTCTCTTGCAGTATGCTGCATAGTGTTGGAACCCAAGTTGTTTCCTTTTTTACTTGTGGTTTTTAGTGGTCGAAGGTTACAATACTAGACTACTGCCTTTGTGTATATACACGTACCTTTGTTATAGTTTTTTTATTTTTATTTTTCAAATTATTCCCTTAAGTGTTGGTGCTGCTGTAACAAGTGAATTTCCTCACTGTGGTATCAATAAAGTCTATTCTATTCTATTCTATTCTATTCTATTCTATTCTATTCTATTCACAGCAACTCTGTGATTGTTCTTACAAGGCCCAGCCAGAAACCTGACTTAAACCCAATTGACTGTCTCTGGAGAGACCTAAAGATGGCTGTCCACCACCTTACACCGTCCAACCTGACAGAACTGGAGAGGATCTGAAAGCAGGAATGCCAGAAGATCCCCAAATCCAGGCACATCTTTACCAAGAAGACTCATGGCTGTATTAGCTCAAAAGGTTGCTTCTACTAAATACTGAGCAAAGAGTTTGAATACTTTGGAACATGTGATATTTCAGTTTGTAAAAAAAAAAATCTGAATACATTTCTAAAATTCTGTGTTTTACTTTCAATATGGGGCGCTGTGTGTACATTAATGAGGAAATAATAATTTAACAGATTTTGGCAAATGGCTGTAATATAAAAGCCATTTTATATTTTAACAGCCATATTATAAAAAAATAATAATAATGGGGGTCTGAATACTTTCCATACCCACCGTATGTTAGCTATCGAGGGAGTAATTTTGTTTAGTCTGAAAACCCATTCATCCTATTCATTTACATAGAAAGTACTGCAGCTGGCCACTAGGGGGCAATTCTGTTCCTTTTGGTCAACGGTTAGATTACTTCCTGTAAGGTTCCTAACATGTCAACGTATTGATCTCCACACAATGTTCCCTCTTAACAATTCTACCCTTTTTATATAAATTTTGTTTGTATTGAAGAGATTTTCACAATGAGAATTAGTTTGACCTTCCTGGTAATACAAAGTGGTAAATGTCATCACTGCAGTCTTACCGGGTTTGGAGCCTTCGGCCACAGAGCCGTTATAAACCTGGTTCTGAAACTCAGGCCTGTTGTCGTTCATGTCAATCACGTAGATGTACAGATCAACTGGGTTCTCCACCTGGTTCCCATTCATGTCCACTGCATGAGCACGCAGCTGCAGATACACACATAAAAGAGAGTGATCATTATTAGCATTCAGTGCAAAACCTAGGTTTCTATGAATATTCTAGATGTAGCTCATCTGTCTTTGAAAACAAGTCGCTGGTTTGATTGATATGAGGCGCTGCAGATTCTCTGGGCTGGAACAAACTCAGCACACAACGGAACCTTGATTTTGTTAATTGGCAACTCTATCTAACTGGCAGACATTCTGCTCCTCGTTTGCCAATGGGGCATGAGCATCCTGTTGGTATCTTGGCACGGACCACATCAGCACAGAGGAGGCAAAACAGTGAAATGTTCCAGACACACAAACGACACTTATTTTGTTGTTAGCACAGCCAGAGGCCTAAAACATCAGAGAGGTGTTGCGCCTCAAGCTGTGGCTCTTTTTGTTCAAGCAGAATGTTTGTCTTGGTGTGTTTTGACAAAGCCAGCCATTTGGATGGATGTCCCCGCCCGATGAGCTGCTTCTTGACAATGCTTTGTGTGAGAAAAGAGGAGAGAATGAAGAGAAGGGGCAAAATCGTGTGGCAGGAAAAAGGAACAGGAGATGGGGAGGGGAGGGGAGGAGAGTGACTGACTTGTGCGAGTAAATGAGAGATGGAAACACAAAGAGGCAGTGTGGGGGAGTGTCAGTTTGAAGAGGGAGGGACTGACAGAAGTAAGCATCATCTACAGTGGGACACCTTAATCTTTACTACTGCTGTTGAACATCCTCAACTCCCCACCAATCCCTACTAATGATATCTAACACCACACAAGGCTTTGTAATAGCTCTGGAACCAAAATCATCTCTGTTCGCCGAGACTTCCATTACTCTCAAAATTCATATCCTTGCCAGAACTGTACCAGAACAACTTGGTTTGCTAAATAGAGGAGGGTCCTCAATCTGGACGGATAAGTCACTCTTCCGGACAAATATTTAGTCTGTACATATTCAGGGAGGAGCGGCCTGGCAGCCTTTTTTACAGGGAACCATGATGAATTGTGGCAATGACGTGAAAGATTAAATGTCGGCACCTGCTTTCACCCAAACGCTTTCACCAGACATGTAGGCTTTGGTGCCCGCCTGTCGAGGACACCTCAAACTTCTCCCAGACGTGCGGTCATGAGCAGTTACACGCATCCAGTCCAAACACCAATCCAGACACATGTTGGTGCAGATTAACACAGAAGAAACATGCTGGGAAGGCAAACACAACTGATCAAAAGAGAACCTCTTTAGCCTCTTAATGATCCTCAAGATGCTCGTTTTCCATTGGCTGAAGCAGAGCAAGCAAACAGGGAAAGAAGACCAAACAAACAAACAATCCCAATCTGTTTTCTCAGCTGTGAACACGCAGCACACTGATGATGTGTGACGGCGATGTGTGTGACTGCGCCAGGACACGGGTGCACATTTGAATGTGTGATAATGAAGCATTTCGTGTATTTGTGAGAAAGCTGCTGTAACCTTGTCCACTCTGCGGAAGCACTCGGTTCTGCATGCTCATACTTGTTCTCTAAAATCTATACATTTGAACACATTAGTTTATTTGCATTTCTGTCACCATCTTCTTGTGTCTGTTCCTTAGAATTTGTTTATGTTTGTGAGCTCAGCAACAACCCTGAAAATATGATCTGAAGGTCTGGAGGAGAGAACGTTGTAGAGACTGCAAATATATCTGTGTGAAGAGGCATCACAATTCTCCAGTGTGAGCTTCGGCATAACTAGACCAACAACAGAGGAAAAACACAGTTTGTACTTGCCTCATTGATGATTTTGCGGGAGTTTCTTTTCTGTTCTGATAAAATATTGATGCCATTGCTGTTGATCATAGAGGTATAGTTGTATAAATATTTATTTTCAAACACAATGCAGAGAAACCTTTGCAGTTCTTGCAAATAATATTTTCTTTACAAAGAAGGGTTGATAAAATTCTGATTTCTTTACTGACATCAGTTGACGTTTTTGATTTAGGAACTATTTATCACTTTATATTGTCACTTGTAAGTCACTTTGGACAAAAGCGTCTGCTAAATACATAAACATAAACATATTTAGCTTAATAAACCATCTATTGAAAGTGTAGTTACAGTTTCTTATTTCAGTTAAATTAAAAGATCTGTATTTGGGAGCAAAGTGAGAACAACACAAATCACCACCTGGAAACTTTCCTGAAGTTTATTTTACATTTAAATCAGGAAAACATTCACATTTTAACTCACATGAAGTGGGCGGGACTTAAAGCATCATGGAGGCATCATGGTTCATATTTGATGCAACTTCCATGTTTTATTTATACTATTAGGGCACATATGTCAGACACAAGGCCCGCAGCATTTTTATGTGGCCCCTGATATAAATATCAAAAATATATTAAAACTGACCCGCTGGCCAATTTTACCGCAAATACTACAACTCCCATGATGCTTTGCGGCGTTAGCGCTAAGTGGAGCAAAAGCGCCCGCTCCTTTGTATTTTTTCCAGCGTCTGCTGCCGGTGTCTGCAGCTCTGCTGTCTCGCACAAACTAAACACTCCTCTCACTCAGCGCCGAGTTTACTCAGCTATTTGCTGACATTGAAGTCCAGAAACGGAGATTTTAATCGCTCAGTAATGTGTTCACGACTGAAAGAGAAAGTTTTCCAACTAACTTCCAGACATTGCTGATATAACTCCAGCGAGCAGCGACACGCTGAAATCAGCATGACTCTGTGGCTGCTGTCATTTTTATTTTACCTCCCCGACACACAACAACGTGGTCAAGCTGCTCAGACATGTTCAGCAGCACAAACCTATGTGAGAACCTGTTGTCATCTAATGTTGTCATTATTATGATGAAGATGAACAAAACAACAGGAGCCTCCTCCTCAGCTAAGAGCTCAACCCCATGATGCAGGTATCTAGCTGGAACAGGTGAGCATCACAGTTGTTACGTGACTTGCCTCTTTTCGGCCACAAGATGGCCTCAGGGGCTTCTGCCTCGCCCGTCTCCTGGTGCCCAGCTGTTTTCAATTACCAGTAATCCCTGAACAGCTGTTAAAAGCTGCTCTCCTGCCCTCAATCTGGGAGAAGGTACAGGGAAGTGTGGGCACAAAGGTGTTCAGGCTTCTCTCTTCTCCTCATGTGCTCGTGTGATTTGGTTAGTGGTACTTCAGGATCATGACTCTCATTCAATAGGATTTCTGGTAAACTTTGACTTTGGACTGGCCTTCGGGTCCGCTTTTGGATTTCCCCCGAGCGTCTCTGCTTATCAGGACGTCTCTCGTTAGTTTAGTGTTTTATTTGTAAACAAATATTTCAGTTAGTTAGTTAGTTCTCCTCCTACCAGCCCTTTTGGCTTGGCGCTTTATGTTAACCCTTTTCCGTTTTGTAAATAGCGGCTCTTTGTGTTTGTTTAATAAAATCCTTTGTTGGAGACACATTTACTTGGTAATTATTAAACCTACACACACCATCTTTTACTCCCTCCTACACATCTCTCCTAGCGAGCTGAGGGACGTAACAACAGTAAATCAGTGGAGCAAACTGAGCTTTAAATATTTTGGCTTTATGCTCTTTTTCTGCTCCAAAACATGAAAGTTAACAGGTGAGATATTGCATTTTCATTTCAGATATTTTTATTTTGTTGTTGGCCCATGAGAAAAGATTTAACCTACAGTAATACAGGAAAGGCTGCAGATAGATGAATAGAATAGAAACTCCCTTTAATGTTCCTCAGTGGGGAAAGCTAGATGTCACAGCAGCGATGAAACATTATAGGAGAAAAAAAAGGAGAATAAAAAACAAGAAAAATGAAGAAGAAAACATAAATCCTGAATAGATTTTAAAAATGCTGAATATACCACAAGTAATGAATACCACTGATGCATTTTATTTAAAATTGACTTGCTCGTGTGTAATTTGGTTATTCAACATTCAGTGTTAATGCAAAAATAAGTTTGTTTCCAAATTAAAAAGTTCAAAATTGCATATATGTTGATAAAGAAAAAGTGCAAATTTGCCGTCACTTTTTCAAAAATTATAAAGTTTGGCCCGCAACTTCGTCCCAGATTTTCATTTCGGCCCCGTGTGAATTTGAGTTTGACACCCCTGTATTAGGGTTTGCTGATGGTATTGCAACAACATTAATTGCTTATTGGGCCATAACATAAAAAATAGACTGAACAATCAATCAATCAATCAATCTTTATTTATATAGTGCCTTCCACTGTCTTTGCAGGAGCCAAAGACGCTGAACATAAAGTACACTAAAAACATAGAGAGCAATAAAAAGGAGATAAAGCAAGATTCAGATATAAAAGCAACGCACAAAATGTAAAAGTAGCATAAAATGATAAAACAGAGTCACTTAAAAGCCAAACAATAAAATTGAGTCTTCAAACAACTCTTAAAGACCTGCAGTGATGGTGACAGTTTAATATCAAGTCGAAGCTCATTCCAGAGAAAAGAAGCCAAGACTGAGAAAGCCAGATCACCTCTAGACCTGTACCTAGTCTGTGGGGCAGTAGCTCCAGGTCAGCAGAGCGTAGAGTTTGTAATGGAGTATGTCTTTTTATTAGTGCTGCCAAATATGGTGGAGCACCACCATAAAGAGACCAGAAGACATAGCACAGAACTTTAAATTTAGCCTGAAAACCTACAGGGAGTCAATGTAATGAGACCAGCACAGGAGTGCTGTGTGCTGACTTCCTTGTCCCTGTCAGAAATCTGGCTTTAGAGTTCTGAACCAACTGTAGACGTCTCAGTGCTTCCTAACTTAGCCCAACATCAATAGTCGAGCCTGGATAAACAAATGCATGGAGCACAGAGTCCAGAAGCGCTCGAGACTACATGGGCTTGATTTTGGTTAGCCATCGCGGGTTAAAGAAACAGGCGATATTGATGCAATACATGCGATACAACAATATTGATGTGAGCTTTCAATTTGAACTCTGTATCCAGCCTCATGCCCAGGCTGGTGACAACTGACTTCTGGTAGGGAGAGAGAACATCTACATTGGGAGCAGAACTTGCACCCACTTTACTACTTGGTATGAAGGTAATAAGCTCAGTTTTGCTCTCATTCACATGGATATGATAAGCTGCGAGCAAGGACTTTATATCATTCAAACAAGCCAGAAGATCCGAAATGGAACCCCCCTCCCCTGGAAACAGAGGAAAATAAATCTGGCAGTTATCTGCATAAAGATGAAACGTAATGCCATGACTGCGCAGGGGAGTCCCCAAGGGAAGTAAATAAAAAGCAAAGAGGAGTGGCCCCAGGAAAGAACCTTGTGGTATCCCCCACCACAAGTCTTCCTAAGGTGACACAGCATTGCCCATCGTGACACAAATCCTCAGGTGCAGCCACTTAGTGCTATCAAGCCATGCACAACAGCCTGGCCAGTAAGGATGACTTCAAATCAACTTTGAATTTCCAAAGGAGAATTCAAAAACTTTTTTTTTATCAGAACAACTTTTCTTGTCCTTACCTGGGACTTTGTTGCAGCATTTCTACAGCAATCACAGATAGTAATGAGTGAATACCCACTGAGGCTGTTATAAAAAGATGTTTCGGAAGGTTTAGTGTACACGTTGAGGACATTTTTGGTAATGATTGCAGGACGTTGAGACCTGCTACTGTCATTACACTGCTGCTGGATTTTCTCACCACTGAGCAATGCATTGTTGTTTTTAGTATCACTATAGCCATAAGCCTCAACTGTTGTTGCAGTGTTTTCCTTAGAGAAAAATCACAAGCACTTCAAAACCTAAACATGAAGAAATATTTTCAACACCTTGTTGAACCAAGAATTACGGCAGCTCTTAAGATAAATGGCGTCCAATTCAAAACTAGCTAGAGGGGCCAAACAAGAGTCTTCTTTGGTCAGCTGGTTTGAAAACAGGGGCGCACGGCAAGGGGGAGGGGAATACGGTTAGTTTAAACAGTGTTTAAAATGGACACAAGGGGCTGTTATAGCACCCCAAAATGGTCTAGTTGCTTTTTAAGGTGTAAGACTCATCCCCTACTATAGTCTTACTCCACCTACACCTCCTGTTTGAAAACTGCACCAAAAAGAGGGATTGCCTGGCATACAGTCAAGAAGGTGCCACTGTGGCCTCATACACCCACATAACACCTTAACTCAGTAACACACAAAAAGCCAGATGCACAAAAAGGTCACCCTGCCTTATACCTTATACCATACTGTGTCTGAGTAACACATAGTGCTATCAACATGAACAGCAATTTTGCTAATACCCAAAATCTTCCTGCTCCTCAGTTTACCTTAAAAAAATCTTGTTGTCCCTTGGAAGCTAATGTATAAAATTGGCACCGTGGCAAAAAAAAAAAAATAAATAAAATAAAATAAAGAGATTAACATCTTCTTCTGTATTTAGCTGACACATATTTTCCTCCTGCACATCATCAGGTGCACGAAGTTGACATCATAAAAACCCTGTGTAAAGAAGGATAGCTGCTACAAGTTTTGCTTAATGGATATATCTGGTTTTTACCATTTTGAAATCAACTTCTTGCCCTTTTAACTGTCAAGTAAATACAATGTTTTATTATAATCAGTTGCACAACCCTGCATTTAGTCATCGGTTGTAGTCAATCTGAGTTTGTTTAATCAGATTCCCAAAAACTCATTAGACCCGACCAAACCCAAACGATAAAAAGTTACAGCATTCTCCCTCCTTCCCTCCCTCTACAGACTGAGAAAACAGTAAAAGCAGATCCGCAGTGACGCTGTGCACCTGGATTCACTAAAGACACACTACTGCAGTTATAGGAGCTGTAGTTAATGGAACAAATGCATTATTTAACACCTGGTTGTTTTAGCATGTCATAAACACAGCAGAGACTCAAGAACAAGATGAAAGACTCAGACACTTTTATGGAATAAAATCGAAAGGCATGTTTATGGATTTTTAAGTTTTCTTTCCTGTCGAGTGAAATCAACTTGCACACAACATATGAATGTGGATCTGAACTGGTGCACAGGTGCTTTCCCCTGAATACTTAACTGATATGTCTATAACCAACTAACTGTGTGTTTACTGTTAATGATATTTCTTCAGAAGGATATTGATGAACACAGATTTTATAAATATTAGGTGCAAGTTAACATGAAACACTCAGATTATTAATATAGTTATTCTTTAATTCTCAGCTGAAAACAATTCTTTTTTGCGTGTAGAAAGGAGATTCTGTTGGGCCAGTAAGAGGGCCTCTAAGGGAAATAGGTTGGGAGCTACTGCCTTAAAGTCTGTAATCGTAACAAAATAAAACAAAACAAACAAAGAGTTTTATTTACTCAATTTTTTTGTGTTAGGCAGTCTGACAAAACCAAAACATAGGCTAACACCCACTCTCCACCTCACAGATCGCTTCCCCCTGATGCTAGTCTGTCAAAAACTGGAGCCTTTTCTCTCTTTCTCCCTTGAACCAAAAAACTAACAAGCAAAGTTTAGCCTACGAGCAGACAGCAGAGCCGGGAACTTCCTGTCAAGTTGGAAGAAAGCAAGTCATGGACAAAATTTCCCCTGGGTCAAGCGCTGACTAGAATTCTCTTTGCACTAAATCATACATCACATCACAGGCGGCATGGGGCAGTGCAGTCTAAATAGGAGGTGCATTGAAGTTGAAGTGCAGACAACCTAGCATGCTGTTTTCACTCTGGGCCCTGTCAAATGTTTACAGAGAGGCTGTGCTTTTCTGAGGACCAATAACATGGCTGCTTTATTGATCCCAATTTGCTGGCTGAGAGTATGAGCAGCAGTGGAAAGTCCACACACACACACACACACACACACACACACACACACACACACACACACACACACACACACACACACACACACGCACACGCACTTGCACACAAGCAGAAAAAATATATACTCACGCACAAGCATGAAAAAGACAATCATTGAGACTTCTATGGAGCACTAATTGCAAAAATAATGCATAGAATATTTACAAATTTACTGCTTTTTTATTAAATTACATTTTAAATTGTTAGAATTAGAATAATTATTTTGAATCAAAAGCTGAAAGTAAAAAACATATATACCAAGATTATAAGATTAAAATAAAACAAAAAAGTCAACAATGTATATATTTTTTCAGAATATTCAAGAAAAATAGCTCAGACTTTAAAGAGAGGCAGCAAGGATACCTTGGGGTTATGCATATTGCTGGAAAATAAAACGTAAAATCTAAGCATTATGAATCACATCTAAATGTGTCTTGGTAGTCTTCTTCTACTTAATAGCATTATTTAGACAAAACACATATTTTCTCAAAAACAATCACAATTAAATTTAGATTTCAACAATTAGATGCAGGTGAATATGTTTCCTTCAGATTGTAAACATTTTTCATATCATCATTGTATATATATATATATATATATATATATATATATATATATATATATATATATAACTTCTCAATCAGTTCCCCAGAGGGTACTGCTGTGTGTGAGCAGTGAATCCCATCCAGCCTCTAAACTTGAGCAAGCTGTTATATTAGCCCTATCAGCTGCACAACCATCTATCACACTGACAGGCATGTGGGCGCAGCGAGCCCGACAACTCCACTCACCTCAAGTGCAGGTGTTAGTCTTGGCTGATATGAACCAAAACCTCTAATGACTGAACAAGAACCAATAGGCTGGTGTTAGCACAAGTCTCGAGTGGTCTGGATTTTTAACTCAAATATCTACAAAGCAGTTTAACCCGAGGCTCCAAAGAGGGAAATGTGTGTGTGTGTGTGTGTGTGTGTGTGTGTGTGTGTGTGTGTGTGTGTGTGTGTGTGTGTGTGTGTGTGTTAAATCAAATTGGCCACATGCAGGTTCACCGTATAGCTGTCAGGTTGCCCTATTGATTAGCAGTATGACAGTTGTAATGAGAGAGCCTATCATGCACAGAAAAGGAAAAGAGAAACAAAGAAATAAAAAAGAAAGTTGGAAGGACACACTAAGGGAGTGAGCCAAGATGAAGGTGAAAACAACCTGAGTTGGATAAAAATACAAACATTTATCAGTCTGCAGGGTTTCACAAACATGCACGCTAACACGCACACACGCACGCACACTTGTACCAATTTGCAGATGCAGACATGTGCACATACTAGTGAAGCTGCACCTGCTCATTAGTGCTCATGGTATGAGCAGACAACAGTTTTCCTTCACATCACCTTGGCTGCCGTTCTCTATCTGTTATTTCCGTCCTTTGGTGCACCGTGCAGCTAAACCCCCAATCTACTGTACAATAAATGCCAGTGTGTTTTGTCAAGCTGTTCCTCTCTTTATTGTTGGCTCCAGGATCATTCAAGTCTTGAGAGGCTTGTTTGAAGGTACAGAAGAGCCTTTCCTCTGAATGCACTTCGGCAGAAACAGGAACAAAAGGGGGTGACGAAAGCCGAGGTGCATTCCCACACACACAGACACAGCAGTGAAATATTGAGACAGATTTAATTGGAGATGGAGCAACTACAGAAACAGATGAGACGTTGTGTCTTACGTGGAAGGAGGCTTTCTCCTCCCTGTCCAGGGGCTGGGTGACAAACATGTTGCCGCTGATGGGATCTATGTTGTAGATTCCACTCGGCGGCTGATCGGCACCTGCTCCGGTGATGCTGTAGCGGATGCCATCATTCTTATCCTGATCTGAGCGGATCTGAGGAGAATTAGAGAAACAAGGTCAGCACAGAGGACAGTCTGTTCTTTAGTCGTAGATCGTCAGACTTTTCCTGAACTTGAAACGAAAAAGTTTCTAAATGCTCAGCGACACAGCTTGTGACAGAAGCTGTCAGAGTGAACTCAGAGATCAGAGAAAAGTAAGAATGTGATAAATGTATTATGATAACACTCCGAGATCATTATTTCTTTTATACCATACCGTAGTTTTTTATATAGCACATTTAAAACGCAGCATGGCAGCTGCCCAAAGTGCTGCACAGGCTGGACCAAAACGCAACCAATCAAATCAACAAAAACAGAAGATAAAAATACCGATCAATAAAAGCAAATAAAAAAATGAGGGATACTAAGAACACAATAAAACAATAAAACACTAAAACAAGTCACGGTCTAAAAGCCGAATCATAAAAGTGGGTCCTTAAACGAGATTTAAAAACCGCCAATGATGGAGCCTGTCAAACTATAATGGGTAGAGAGTTCCACAGCGTTGGGGCAGCATGGACAAATCCTCGTTCACCCCGTGATTTGTAACACATTCGGAGAGTGCAAAGCAGCAGGAGGTCAGCAGACCTCAGTGTGCATGTGGGTACATAGGGAGTGAGCAGGTCAGAGAGATAGCCAATGCTTTTAACTCAGAGTCAAATAGAGAAGCTAGAAGTGAACCATGACCTCAGAGGGAAAGGGATCTACAGCTGGAATATTCTGGTGAAGCTGAAGTTCTGCTTCCTGTCTGCAAACTAGTCACTGGCAACTCGTCCATAGGGGGCGCTAGGTGTGAGGAAGACATAGGAATCACAGCATTTAAAAACAAACAAACAAAAATTAAACTGAACTAAACATCATACAGGCTATAAGTGCTGTAGTGTAAAAATGTCATTTCACACTTTCACCACGACTGAATCGTCTTTTGGCGTATTTCCTGTTCCTTTCAAGCGCTGCAGTCTTTACCATCGACCTACGCTAACTGGTGCATGCAAGCTGGATCCCCCTCCAATACAAAGAATAGGAGGGCTTTTGAGCATAAAGGTTTGTACCCAAAACTGGGTTGAGTCTCAGCTCAGATCAGGATGTTCACCCGTGTAAGGTTATGAAGTTCATTGTTTTCAACTCCATACAGCTGCCCCCTGTGCACAATAACACCGTGTAGAAAAACCAAGGTCGGGTGTTCCTCAGACTGTTTACATTCCAGGAGAAGAGTCCGAAAGAGAAGAAGAAACTTTACTTAATCAAAGTACCAGAAGCTCTCCACAGTTCACCATTATTTTATTTTTAGCTCACCGTTCTTTGTTTTAGAGCAGCCGAGTACACCTCCTTTTTTTATATGGATGATTATAATGACAATAAACCAGTAAAGGTAGGCCTGACTTTGACTTCATGAAATTAGCTTTGTGTGTTTTGCTGCCGAGGTCTTTGATTTTTGCAGCTAGAGCAATGGTACTGATATTGTTGTAAAGAGGAGACTCTGGGCTTTAATTTAAAAGTCTGTTTCTGTGAATAGGATCATGTTGCATTGTTGCTACTATGTGTTTTTCTCTATGTGTATTTAGCTTTTTGTCAGCGTTTTTATTTTGCGTCATTGCTGAGGTTGAAAACGTGGATTCTATAATAAAAATGGTCATTTGGCATCTCCTTGTGGTGATATGTGGTTACCTCATCTAACATCTAACAGACGGCATGAACGTGCCCCACCAAAAAAAAAAAGGAAAACTTCACCAGCTGCCACTGATACTGGCATCCTCCTTTGATTATGATACAATTCACATTTGGAATGGAGCAACTCACACCTCCATCTTTAGAACCTTGGTATTAGAAAAAGACATACAATTTAAAATAAATGATTAATGCCCCTTTTGTCACAGCAATAAAACACATTAATACTACTTTCTCTTTTATTCACTGTGTTTGGATTTAAAAGAGGACAAATTAGGACACCGGTGCATTTCTTTACATTTGATATTTTTCAGGGTTCTTGTCAGTCAATGAAACAACAATAAAGATGCATCCATTTGATTTCTGCTTATAAAAGTGTTAGAAGAACTCAACAAATAAATGCCATCACATTGTTGACATTGAATGTGCTACTACTAGTTTACGCGTTTAATAATAGATTCACTAGGATAAATACAATTATGTTTATCTCTCACTAAATAGAATATTTACTAAGAAATCACAATGTAACCATAGAAACATTACTTGGTATGTATGTTGTGTGTGTGTGGATCTGTGTTTGTGTGTGGGTGGGCTGGTGTGTGTGTGTGTGTGTGTGTGTGTGTGTGTGTGTGTGTCTGCTCTGTCTTCTCGATCCCTAGTGAGTCGTGATGGATGGCTGCTTATACTGAGCCAGGATCCTCTGGAGGTTTCTTCTTGTTAAAAGGGAGTTTTCCTCTCCACTGTCGCTAAATGCTTGCTTAGTATGAGTATTGCTGTAAAGTCACTGACACTAGTCAGTGGGTGTGTCCGAATCCACAGTTAGGATGCTTACGAGTACGGGTCCTCGCCGGTCTAGCAAGGCCGGGTCCTTGAAGACCGCTAAACCCGGAACCCAGCGGCTCTGAATTCGGACAGTCTAGCCGTCACCTCTACAGTGGCCCGTATGTCCCGTCACAGCCGTGGCGGCAGCTACACGCAAAGTAAAAATGCTAAAGCTAGCGAAAATCGAGCAGGAATATTAAGGAGCTACAGCAGCTTCACGTCCATCAGCAGCGTTTGTTCAAAACCGTTTTCAGGTAAAGTAACTTTGTTTATTCTAGAAACTTTCAGGACTTACATGTTAACTTTAGATGGTTTCATGTATGTTTTAAGCTACAGAATGAACTTGTTAAACATACACAACACATTTCTAAAGAGTATTATCATGTAGGTAATTAATATAAACCAAATGCATTATACATGTTGAATTCAGTAGGATGTCTTCTAATGTAAATTGGACCTTTGAACTTATTTAGCATCAAATGAGGGTAAAACGTTTTTAAAAACAGGCTTTTTTAATAAAATAGCATTGAACTGTTTTCATTGTGCATTTGTTTATTCAACTTACGCCTAATAATGATTAGATCAGTCTTAAAAATGTAAATTCTCTGTAGTTTTCCCTGCTGCTTTTCTTTAAACTGAACAGAACCAGTGTACTGCAGGTTATATGTTTTGTTTTACATTTTTCAATAAAAAAAACTTTTTTAATCTATTACAAGTCAGCATGCACTGTGCTGCACATCTGCATCGGTGCTGGTGAAGTTGTGGGTCTGGAGGATGAGCGTGAGGAAGATGTGTGTGGAGGAGGTCAGTGGTGCTCTGTCCTGGAGGAGGTACCAGCAGACCACCACTACTGTTAACAGCAAGGGCGTCAGTTTGTTTCCAGAATTGCTGGGGACAATAACCATACACTTGAGTGGGGTTTAAAAATTGCTGGGGACAATAACCATACACTTGAGTGGGGTTTAAAAATTGCTGGGGACAATAACCATACACTTGAGTGGGGTTTAAAAATTGCTGGGGACAATAAAGTAGGCTAGCACAGGGGTCGGCGGCTCTGTAGCCACATGCGGCTCTTCCATCCATCTGATGCGGCTCTGTGTTTGTAAAATAATGAATGGATATTTAAATAAAATGCTTTATATTTTACTGCATTAATTTTACACCTGTATGCCAATTCTAAATGTAAAGATTGTCTGCGTAAACCTGAACAGGTCCAACCTGGTCTTACTGTGAGACCGGGTTGACGCGCCACGCTTGTGCGTAATCATAGGCGCTTTATGAGCTGAAGAGGATGTGAGATTGTTGTGGGATTCTCCTCAGACAGCTCCTGGATGTGTCGCCACATTGGAGACAGGAACAAGCGCTATTCAGCCAAAGTTTCATCATCAGGGAACATTTTCTAAGTGACAAGTCTCTCTGAGAGACCGGGTTTGGAAAACACTCGCTTCAGTGGGAGGAACCTTCCCACATGCGCTCTGGGTGGCTCTGGGGTTAATCAAGTTTAATTGTTTCTCTTTGCAACAATCTTCACAAGAAGGCAAAACAGTTAAACGGCAGGTTACATATATTTCCATTTGACTGTTTATTTTGACAGATGAACTCAAGGATGTTGCTTGGTTTGAAAGAATTACCCCGACGCACACTGATGCGCATGGATGAGCTGACATTTTAATCGTTAACGCACATCGTGGAGGTAAAATATTCCCATCAGAACATCAGAGCTTTATACTGGACACTGTGTTCAGCGTGGCTCGGAGCGCCCACGGTGGACAGTGAGCTGAAGATCTGAGGGGTTCGCAGCGCAGCGCAGAACCACGGTGCATGCGATGATTTCCTCCCACTGAAGCGGTCTGGAAACCCGGTCTCTCTGAGGGATGTGTCACTTGGAAAAATGTTCTTTTTATGAAATTATGAAACTGGCTGAACAGCGCTTGTTCCCGTCTCTAATATGGAGACGCATGACGCGTAGAGACATTTGATCACGCACAAAGTTCGTGTGGAGCAGAAGCGGTCGGGCCACGGCAGGTGAAATGTTCCTAGCATACATGAAGGGAAACTGTTTAATTGTAACATTAATACGTTACTGGACACGCTGGTCTGGTTGGTTAGACCAGTGTTTGAAGTGGAAAACACACACACACACACACACACACACACCAATTAAAATATATGCTGATAGCATGGACTAGAAGACAGGTGATGGTTTACGTATTTAAATGATGATCAGGCTGCTGTAAAATGTAATCTCCATCCACATCCAGACAGAATCATCCTCTATTCTGTCTCTATTTGCTCTGCTCTTGTCTGGGCTGATCAGCTGATGGTGCGCCTAACTAGCGGCTGATGCACATTTTACGCATTTGGAGAGGTGGGCTGGATGCTGTGCGTTTACTGGAAGATGGTCCACTTAACGCACAGGTGTAGACTACATATTAATGACAAATGAATGAAAATTAAATTGTGAGTTTTTACTTCATATTTTATAAATAAAAATGACGGGGAAAA